CCGGGTCTCCCGGGCCAGGAGGTTAAGCAGAGCTTCTTGAAGAACCAGCTTCAGGCCCTGTTCCAACCAACGGACAACAAGCTGGCCATGAAGCTGTTCGGCAGCAAGAAGGCTCTGATGAAGGAACGGATCAGACAGAAGGCTGCAGGTCACTGGGTCATCCATCCTTGCTCCAGTTTTCGGTGAGTCCTTTCGCAGATATCAAACTATTTCGCCTTGACAGGCGATATCGATCGCTTTAATTCTCTAAGTCGATAGATTCCAGCTATGTTAGACCCTTTGAACCCCTTTATGGTCTTAGGAGACCATCCGTTTATTACTCTTTTTTAAACGGGTTTTGTCCTGATAACGAAGAGCTCGTGGTCTTGATAGGTTATGGTCTTTTATCGTGGAATCTTCAAAGGATTCGATATAAATTCCTTCCTTACTCGACCTTTTAATTATTTCAGCAAGTATGACGCTGCAAGTATTAGGAGCGGAGTTATTAGATCGGGATTATTAGACTAGGACTGTTCATTTTAAGAGGATTCAGATATTTCTTTGAATATGAAACTTGAATAGAATATTTTGAACAAAATATTTTTTTAGTAAACGGAGATCCCTGACATCAAATTTACTAAGTTTATTATTTGAAATTTTATTTAGTGAGATGAAAGTCGTTAAAGCGCGTTCAAATTTCGCGCCAAACGAGGTATCAGGAATGTCAAATAATGTCAAAGCTTATTTCTATATTTTTCAAGCTTAATCATCTATTATAAGTATTGTAAAGTATTAATATACTGTTATGATAATCTAACTTCAATTGATAAGAAATAAATAAATAAAACTGAAGAAGATGACAAATATACAGAATATTTTTCCAAACTATCAGCGATACGTTTTATCAAAAAGGAAATCACGAAAAAATTTCCGACGAAATTATGCTCGTGTAAGTTCAGCTTTTCAACGGAGACCAAAATCGAAGTACATCTCGAGAAGAGGATTAATTTGCGTGAAGAACTAGTTGCTGATGTTAATTGAAAGCAATGCCTCGAACGAGACGATCGCTAACGAACAGCAAGATTTTCGAGGATCGTCGTACACGTAGACCACTCCTGTCTGTCCTAATTACCAATTAAAACGTCTAATTAAAGTACCTTACGCGGTAGAACAGAGCCGAATCGAACGAAATGTTGCATCGAAAGGTTTCTTCTTCATTATCCCGACTGCGCGGTGATCGGCTTTGACCCAGTTCGCAATCTTGCCCCCAGTAAAACAATCGATGATAAAATCTGGCTAGATTGAATATCTTACTGCTCCATAAACACGATCGTCAGCAGAAATGTATTGGATGTTTTCAGATTCCTGCTGTGTAGGTGTTATTCGAAAAGGAAAACAGATCTCGTGTATGCAAATATGACACCGTAGTACCGCATGTTTTATAAAACGTAATGTATCTCTATGTTTTTTAAAACGTACGTTACTTTGGAATTTGCGGATTTGGTTAATTGAAATTTGCGAATTTCAGCATATGGACATTGCGACATTTTTGACGGTATTTAAGAATTTGGGGAATTTAGGAAATTACGAATTTTGGAAGTTTAGTAATTTGGGAATCTCAGAACTGGAGAATTCAGGAATTTGAAGAATACTGATGTTGAAATTTGAAATCTAGGGAATTTCATAATTTTAAATGTAAAGAAATTTATAATGTGAAATCTAAGAAATTTTAGAATGTGCAATTTAGAGAATTTTAGAATTTAAAATCTAGAGAGTTTTATAATATGAAATCTAGGGAATATTAGAGTTTGATATCTAAAAAGTTTTATAATTTGAAATGTAGGGGAATTAATAATTTTAAATCTAGGGAATTTTAGAACTTGAAATCTACAGAATTTTAGAACTCTAAATATAGGGAATTTGAAGGCCTGAAATCTAGAAAATGATAGAACTTGAAATCTAGGGAATTTTAAGACTTGAAATCTAGGGAATTTTAAGACTTGAAATCTAGGGAATGTTAGAACTTGAAATCTAGGGAATTTTAGAACTTGAAATCTAGGGAATTTTAGAATTTGAAATTTAAGGAATTTTAGAACTTGAAATCTAGGGTATTTTAGAATTTGAAATCTAGGGATATTTATTTCTTATGAGTTTTTAATTTCATATCTAAAAAAATTCTAGCATTTTATACCTAGGATATTTCAGAATATGGAATCTAGGGAACTTTGAAAGCTTGTAAAATTTGATATCTAGGGAATTTGAGAATCATTCGCAGAAGTTTGGCATTAAAATTCTGACGAATTTATGGTATTTGTAATCTAGGGAATTTGTAACATCGAGTTCTAGGGAGTTTGGAAATTCTAATGTTTCTATACTTAAACATTTATAAATATATAACGTTGTAGATTTTAAAATTTGTTTTTCTGAAAATTGGAATATCTGGGAATATAGGGATGTGGAAATTTGTAATTTTGGGAATTTATAGTTTTGAAAATTTAAATGTTTAGAAATTCAATAATTTAATTATTTGATAATTCAGAAATTCATCAATTTAAAATCTTGGACACTGAAATTTTGAAATATAGCAAGCTAAAAATTTATTAATCGAAAAAATTCAAACTTCATAACTTCGTATACACAAAAATGTGAAAAGTTATTATCCATTTTTTGATTCGCCAATACCTAACCACAAAAACGACATTTCCCCTCGTTCCGAGGTTTGATTAAAAACTGTCCAATCAATCTCTCTATTTTATTATGCAGCTTCATTCGAATTTTATGCAAACGCATTGTTGATCGAAAATTTGAAGTCGAGAGGTCCATCGAGCGTTGCTCGTAGCTTGAAATTGCTGATATTACCATCGCTCCATAACCATTCGCGAAACAAGCGATCCATGCGTTTGTCGTGCCAATTGCCCGAAGTTGTATGAGACCCTGACATTCAGAATCTTGCTTAATTAGTGATAATATTGCCCACTGTATCCCAACTTCCGCTGAAATTTTCATCCGGTCGACTCTTAACGATCCTCGTTCGTTATCTTTCGGGGGCCAGCGAATGCCAAAACGTTGGAAATCTTTCAATTATGCAGCCTCTCAACAGAATTACTTCAAGATCCCTTTAGAAGAGCAAATATAAAATAATACTTGTGGTCCTTTTGGACATGGTAATTTTTTATGGCAATTTTAATTTAGGTATTGTCAGTTACGATATTTAACCGAATAAATCTCTGTCGTCGATCAGAGTAATGATAAAAATCTATCGTTATAAATATAACAGTCCTCGCATGTGAAGTTTAGCTATTTTTAGCGAAACCTTTAAACGAGCATCCAGCATCTGATTCTTGAGGGATCAGAGGTCATTTTCATAGTTGGAATCGGCGTCCCGTAAATACGATTCGTTTCCTGGATGCAATCAGAATAGATCAGATAGCCTCGTTGATCACTAGGGGGGAATCCGATAATTGGGTTGAATTTAGAGACGTTCAGATTCGACGAAGATTCCGTGAAGTAGGAAATACAGTAGACCCTCGTTATATTGCCAGCGACTAGACAGTAACGTAACGACTAACGTTCGTTGAACAATGGATATGCAAGAAGGAAACAATTTACATATTTAAACTTTCGAAAATTTAATTTCAAAATGTAAGAATTTGGAAAATTAGGAATTTTGGAATTTAAAAATTCCAGAATTTTGAATTTGATAATTTGGCAATTTCGAAATTTTTAATTTTCAGAATTTGGAAATTTTAAAATGTGAGAATTTACCAGTTTGAGAAATTATTAATTTAGGAATTTAGAAATTTAGAATTTCATGAATTTTTAAATTCAGTAATTTTAAGAACCTTATGACTTTTAGAATTTGGAAATTTGTGAATTTAGATCGTAAAATTTGTATCTTCATTCTACTATTTTTTTACGTGAATTCTTCTATAAACATTAAATTTGAATTTTCCCGCCACCTGACGTAACCCTTTACAAATCAATATGGCGGAACATTACGTTAACTTGAGTATCACTGGTATAAACTATAAACTATAGCGTGGAAATGTTTCTTGTACACTATCCAATCGAACGAATCAATGAAATCGTAAGAATGTCTATAATTAATGAACTTAATCGATAAACCTAATTGCAGCTGAACTACTCACGTTTATGATTGTCTTAGCTCGACCTTTTCCAGCGAGAAGAGCACACGAGAAACGGAAACAGAGTCTTCTTTAATGAGTCGTGGCTCGAATTGTAGATCCCGACGAGTTGTTTGCGAAACGTCTTAAAGCTGCCACTTTTTAAGAATAGCTAGGTACTGCTTTTCAAGAAATGAGGTTGAAACGCTAGTATGACGAGGTAGGTAAAACTTCGGCATGCTAACGTTTAGAACGTTGTATATTATTTCTAAATACAGTTACTCGCATTAATATTCGGATACGGTACTACGTTTGTTTTGCATAAGGGTTAATTTGCATATCATATTACTTATTTTACAGGGAAATGAATTATTCATTGTAAATTAAAAATACATCAGTATTTTGGCATAATATTTAGTTCAGCAAGTCGTTTTTACCAGTGTTGTGCTTTCACGTATGTCAATTATCCTTTACCGCACATGATAACAAATATAAAAATACTGTCCGAATATTATAATAGTCTTAATATAAGCGAATCTTTAGGGTCGGAACTTTCATTCGTATCGTATAGTTCTTATACTGATTGAAGTTAGTCAAATGTAGAAGATCGAGTGAAGAAAACGTGCGAATTGAACGTAAATAAATAGTAACATATCGATGAGACAATTCTAATATTAGAATAACTTTTTTGCTATGAAATTTTTACTAACATATTTGTGACATTTTCTCAATTAAAATGAGACCAAACATGACATAATTTTGACATATTTAACTGTAATTTTAAGCGAATCGTTTACATCGAAACTACTAAAACAATATTTGCGATAAACGAACGAGTAATGACGCATCGGTTAACTTCGTTTCTCTTCGGTGTTATTCGGATAATCACGTGATACGTCTAACTGTCGAAATCGTGGGCTTCTATGGCTAAACTGTCAAAATGTGGTCTAAAAATGGTAGAGGTTATAGTAAGATCCCTGTGAACAATTAATTATTTAATTATATGTGTATTTCACACATACAATATAGTATTTTTTATTTAACGGCTGAACTATATTGGTAGCTTAAAAAGTGTTTTCTTATTGCTCTACAAGAAATCGTGCAAGGTATTCTGTAATAATTTATTTAACCTAAATTATCACAATTTTTCTTATCGGTTTTTTATTATAAATGCTATATTATATATAAAATTAATGTATTTATAAATCGACGGTCGGAATAATTATAATTTAAATTAACAAAATAATAAAGTAAAGTTATTACTAACACGGATTTCTTCTACTTTAAATAATTACGAAGGTTTTTATTAAGAAACGAAACAGGTACTTTTAATACAACTTTCTTCATTACAGATTCATAAAAAAATTAAATGAATTTCAGGAGTAGGAAAAAAGTTTGAGAAACTTTGAATAAGTTCGATATCTCATTAACGTTCGATCGTCCTTCACATTTTTATAATCTGGCGACGAATAAAATGAACTACACTTAAGTTCCGCGTGGAAGTTTCATTCGAAACGTTCGGTGATATTCGTCGAATCAAAACTAATTACCAGTTAATGTCGTCGTAAAAATATTTTAATCCAAATTCAATCGGAATCAGAATAATTGAATTTTATTTATCAATCTCTTAAATATCGGACAAGTTTTAATTTCGAGGTTTTTTAATTTTCCTAATGGCTGGTAAAATGGAACGAAATAAATTCACGGGTCCGTCGAAAGCATCTTTGCCGGAAGTCTTTATCCGTTTTTTTTTTCGAGCTTCCTCGACTACTTTGTAAGCTCGTATTCTCATCTCGATTGACTGCAAAAGAAAAGGGAAGATTATACAAGGAAGAAAAACATTTGCTTCTTCTTTTCGAGAGTACTGTAATACTTTTAACAGTTACAGTTAATGTTTCACGACGTCGACCAAAAGTTTTTTTGCCTTATCTGCTCACTTACTGAAATTGTGTCCATCATCTTCGTTTCTTAATTCAATCGTTTTCACGCGTCGGGTAAACGTTCTCATAAAATCCTTTGAAGCTTCATATTTGACCCATATAGGTATATTGCAAATTTTATACTTACAAGTTTTTACTTCTAGAATAAATTGAAAAATAAATTTGTTTACAACAGAAAATTGCATAAACGTTAAAACCCATTGTTGGATCTGAAATTTACAAATTTTTTAAATCTGAAAATTTTCAAATTTTTAAAACTCAATTTTCATTTAGTGATTTTTATGAACAGTTATATTTGATAACTTAGGTTATGAAAATAGTAAAAAATACTTGCAAGGTATTAAGGTTTTAACCAAGACGTTTTAATAAAATAAACAATGCTCTAATGAGGTCACTAGTACTTGATCGATGTCAAAAATTGTGACGATCAAGAAATCTTTTTACCGCGCAGCAACGAGCTTTCCAGCAAAGATAAAGTCGACGAAGCAATTAAGCTCGAATGGGAGAATTTGCGAGTATTCGATGCGTCGACTGAAGTAGATGAACGGAGGCATGTGTGCACGCGTTCAACGGAATTGCACAACCGAGCCAGGGTCGGGAATGATAGAATAGCCACGAGACGTCTTAATTGACCCGAGGGAATGCGTGAATATGAGCTTAGAGAGATACGATGTACACTGTCTTGCGCGAAACATCGGCAGACTAATGACGCCTGTCGTCGAGACGTCTAATCATTGAATGCAAACTCTCCAGATGTTTGCTTCCTTCCCTTATCGGGCTCGTGACACGAACTTGGATGCTGCAATTATTATCCTAATGTGACAATGAAACAACGTTATTTTTAACCGACTTTCTATATCAGTTGCAAGGAGAGTGCAAGGACTTGGAATTGTTGATACTGGTAAATTTAAATGCGACGTTTGTGAAAATAACACTGTAGGGACTAATTATCGGAAGTCCTTTTTTTAAACATTTATATTTGTAGGCTGCTTGTTATGATGATTATACCGCAGTTTTAATAGGAGAAAATATCAAATATCAACTAAGTTGTTATCTAGAGTACTGAAATAATATGCTGTTAATGAGGGTACGATTCTTCGCAGATGAAACGTATTCGCTTTCCGCAATTTTACTACGTTTACGTTTCTCTATATAATCTCATATTTCTCTTCGTTTAGCAATTTGCTGAATCTTAAAAAGATAGAGTACCAAAAAAAATTTTAGCATATAAAATCACGTGAATTTGAAAATGTGAAATTTAGGAAATTTGAGAATTTGTAATTTGGAAAGTTTGATTACTTTCCATCTAGGGAATTTGAGAATTTAAAATCTAAGAAATGTGAGAATTTGAGCATTTAATATATAGGGAATATGAGAACCCAAAAGATATGCAATCTGAAAATTCGAAATCTGGGGAATTTGAGATCTAGGAAATTTAGGAATTGGGAATCTAAGGAATTTGAGATCTAGGGAATTTGAGATCTAGGAAATTTAGGAATGGGAAATCTAGGGAATTTTGAGATCTAGGAAATTTAGGAATTGGGAATCTACGGAATTTGAGATCTAGGAAATTTAGGAATTGGGAATCTAGGGACTTTCAGATTTAAGGAATTTAGGAATTCGCAATCTAAGGAATTTGAGATCTAGGAAATTTAGGAATTCGGAATCTAGGGAATTTGAGATCTAGGGAATTTGAGATCTAGGAAATTTAGGAATTGGGAATCTAAGGAATTTGAGATCTAGGGAATTTGAGATCTAGGAAATTTAGGAATTGGGAATCTAAGGAATTTGAGATCTAGGGAATTTGAGATCTAGGAAATTTAGGAATTGGGAATCTAAGGAATTTGAGATCTAGGGAATTTGAGATCTAGGAAATTTAGGAATTGGGAATCTAAGGAATTTGAGATCTAGGGAATTTGAGATCTAGGAAATTTAGGAATTCGGAATCTAGGGAATTTGAAATCTAGGAAATTTGGGAATTCGCAATCTAGGGAATTTCAGAATTTGAAGACTAGGAGAATATAAGAAATTGAAATTTATGCAATTTCAGAATTCAAACTCTAGGGATTATGAGAATTCGAAATCTCGATAACTCGCAATCTAGGGAATTTATAATTTTTCATCTAGGGAATTTGTAAATTTAAAATTAATGAATTTAAAAAGTGTAAATATAGGACATCTGATTATTCAAAATCTAGGGAATTTAAGTATCTCACATCTGGGGAATTTGAGAATTCTAAATCTTAGGAATTTTACTTATAATAAATTTGGGAATTACGCATGTAGAAAATTTGAAATCTCGGAAATTTCAGAATTCAAGACCTAGGAGAATCTAGGGAATTTGAGAACTTGACATCTAGGGAATTTGAAAATTCGACTTTTGAGGCATTTGAGAATTCGAAACATTGAAAATTAAAAAAGTAGAATTTTAAGGAATTTAAAAATTGTAAACTTAGAAAACGAGAGTTCGCAATCTAGGGAATTTAATAATTCGAAATTTAATAAATTTTGTATCCGGAGAATTTGAAAGTTCTGAATGTAATAATTTATTTGAAGAAGCAGAGTATTAAGACGGATTTCGAGCAAGATATTTAGTTTCATATAATATTTCAGCTCTCACGGTATTTTCATGGCTCGCACCATAAACGAGTATCGTATCGCATTTTTTACTGTTACTGAACGTAGTAATAAAAGTAGCGCACAATATCTTTCACAATAACTTCTGCGATGTTGCTTTCGGTATTACCGAGCTTCGGTACTGACAGTGAGATAGCGGCCAATATTTAAAGTTTAACAACAATTTTAGAAACATGTTCCGCCATAAACAAAACCACGTTGACCACTATTTTCTAATACAAGATTACTCGTTTGAGAGTATCTCGATAACTATTAATTATATACCCTATCTCTTCAGTTACTTTTTTCTAAAGCAAAATTTCATGCTTTATGCAAATCCAAGAAAAATCGTGCATTCCATTTAAAAACATGGAGATGACCTTCGTCTTTCGATAAAAAGCACGGTAACAAGAAATCGATTACAACACTGTAAATACATGCAAATGCCCATGAAAAGCGTGCTTTTGTTTTGCGATGAATGATTTATGAGTTATTCGAAATTCTAGATTTACGAGACACCCTGTATTACTTTAAATCTATAGTGCGGCTAAAAATAGTAGCTGTAATTATTGTTATCACTAGTAATAATTGTTATTGTTGGGAATAATATTTATAATATTGTATAATATTATACAATAGTAATACTGTTGTTGGTAGTAATAAATATTAATAATAGTAATAAAAATATACCATAAAATTTATTATTAGTAGAATAGTACATTTATTAATACATTAGTGATAAATTTATTAAAATTTACAATTATTAACAAGTTGAAAAAATATGTTATACTAACATTATATTACTAGAATAACAATAATGAATATAATTAATAAATTTTTTATAAATATAGTAAAATAATAATTTCATTAGACGTAACCTACAAACAAATAGATAGTATAGCATTAATTCTGACAACACATTGAAACAGAAATGCGAATGATGGTTGCAAGCATTCTCTGCAAAGAGAGAAAGAAGAGCATACACGAGACACGTGCGATCCGCTGAACAACGTGCCCACAGTGACACAGTAGCCTCTCTAGCTTAATCGGATGATTATTCTGAGATCATTCTTACAGCTGATGCTAGCACGGCACGATTTTAACTGCCATTATACCGTACACACCATTCAATCTGCCTTCTCTGCATCGTTCTCCCTACAGTCCTTCTTAAATGTTTCTCGAATCCTAAACAAGCCTTGAATCATCTCAATTATGATTATTTTAATTTGGTACATTTTGAAATTTGAAAATGTTTAAGTGCATGTAGTCTTGTTTTTCAATTTTACTGGAGCTTGTATTTTTATATTTTCAAATATTTTTATTTTCAGATTCTTAGATTCTCAAATTATCAAATGTTTAGAGTGTTAAATGTTTAAATTGTCAAATTTTTAGATTCTCAAACTGACAAATCCTCAATTTTTCAATTTTTCATATTCTTAACTTTGCATCTTCTCAAATTCTCAGTTTTTCAATTTCTCAATTTTACACTTTGCTAATTTCTTAAATCTTCAAATTCCCTAATAGTCAAATTTTCAAGTTCCTAAATGTTTAATTTTTTAATTTTTTAATTTCTTATATTTTCAAATTTTTCAATTTATGTATTGATAAATTTCCATATATCCAAATCACATAATTTCCAAACTCTTAATTTCTCAATTTCTTAATTTCATAATATCACGATTTCCAAACTGCCACATCCATCATTATCACTGTCACCTTTATTAACACTAAACCATATAATGCATACTTTAAAACTGAAGTTGTAAAATAAGCAGACAAAAAAACATGAATATCTTAGCTTAAAATCGACACAGATTTCAAGGAAACGTAACAAATTTTGTAGCTTCAAGCAGCTTGTAAAATGGCTACTTGACCGGTTTGGTAGTTTAACCGAACATAAATTGACTATATTCGTACATAAACCCAGTATCGATCTACACCTCACAGTACAACAATGAATACAAAATTATCGTTTCAAGCCTCGAGTTGCTACTTCTCGAGAACAAAAAAAAAGTCTTGGAGTACAAAGGGTTAACCCAGTGCACCCTCTCCAGGGGGTTAACTGCAAATTGTTATTATCGAGGCGCGTGCAATGAAGCTGGAAAGCGGAGTGTTGCTTGTTCCTAACTGCACGGCCATTTTACTCGCGGCCTATCGAGTTTTATTCGGCGATCAATTAAGAAAAAACGCTTAAAGGGAACGGTGCCGTTCCGTTAATGCCTTCGTCTGTTTCGGCTATCGTTGTTGTTCGCGTTCGGAATTATAATTACCGCGAAATTGTTTTCTGCCTCCTGGGGCTACATTAGAACGCTGAAAATGCCAGCCTAGAATTTCAGCTCCTTTCAAGCCATTAAGTTACCTCTTGTTATAAATTCTTTCCATCATGATAATTAACCGATGGCTGCAATCATGAAATTTATAATTGATTGCTAGTCCACTTTTTGTTTTGCAAGATACATAAGGATTTGCATTTTAATGAATTTAAAAATATTGCATCAATTTTTTATATTTTGTACTGTGAGATAATGTTTGTAGATAATTTTGTACTGTTAGATTGTATGTTTATTATCCAATAGTGTTTAAAGTGTTGGTTAAAAAAAATAAACATTTTATTATACACTAGTGAACTTATATCATTGTCAAAATAAACATCTTTTAAAATATTAGGAAATTTCAGTTATGTCCATTAAAATTGTTTACGAATAAAAATGTATATTCTATTCCTAGCATTATCTTCACTTTCTTCATTTCTAAAATAAATGACTCGGTGAATGGCTAAACTCTAGTTTAAAAACTGTAATAATCTAATTCATGTTAAATCTAAACTATGATAGTTTATTTCTTTGGTCCAATTAATATTAAACCTACTAACGCATAAAACATATGTTACTTAAAATTAAAATAAAATAGAAAAATGAATAAACAAATGATAAAAAATAATATACACATTAATTCATATCGATATTAATATAGATTTCAACAAAAGCACCTTAATAAATTTTGTAAATTAAAAAGATAATTTGTGATCAGGTAAAATAACTAGTTTTGTTGTTTTAGCGTTAAAAGTTATTTTCATGTAACTCCCTGTATTAAGGTGATCTTCATTTATTCTTTGTAATCAACTATATTCTACATTTATTCTTTGTAATCAACTACATTCTTTATTTATTCTTTGTAGTAAACTATATTCCACTGTTATAGAATTTGTGAAATGCCTGAATAAACAATTCCTATACAAAATTTTATGTAAAATATCTATGCACAATATGGCTATTTTTATATATCATTACTCATCACATCAGGATAAACACTGGAAAAAACCTATCAATAGGTTAGGTTAATTAGAGCATATATACAAAAACATATTCCTAAATCCTTGGATGATAATTATCCACAATTATCCTCAGCTATGTTCAATTGTCATAAGAAAGATATAAATCATCCATTTAT